CAATTAGTTCTACCCTGTTCTATAGAGTTGCTATGAGTTGGCATCCACTTGATGGCAATGAGTTTGGTTACGGTGTTTGGAAGTAATATGTGTGACCCCAATTCTCTCAGTGGTCCAGAAGAAGAAGTTGCCTTCAGGGGTACAGTTAATTTTGTCTACCAGACGCGTTGCACCCTCATCCCAGAACACAATGAAGTAGAATTTTAGATCTTCACACCAATATTCTTCGTGTGTGTGTGTGTGTGTGTGTGTGTGTGTGCGTGTGTGTTTGTGTGTGTGTGTTCTAGCTTTTCTAGTTGACAACATCAGGAGGGTATATGTTACCTAGTTAGCCATCATGGGGACTCGATCTATCTCCCTTTCTCTGCTGGCAATCTCTATAATGATAGAGAACCCATATAAAACTTCAAATTTTACCTATAAAATCTTCCTGCTGATGCTAGAAATTAAGTGGAAATTACCTTAGTTCTAAATTCTTCTTACTGCATGAAGGGCCTGCAAATATTCTAGTTCACCATTTAACCAGTCCAAACAATCAATTTCCAAGTGATAGCATGGAATTACTCACTTTTTATATAATATTATCGTTCTCCTTTTCTGTAAATATTTTACATATTCCTTCCACTCGAACTTTCATCACTGCTTATGTTTTATTTGACTGCTTTGAAAGATCAAAGAATTCATTTCTTTAAGTCTGTTCATATTTTAAAAGAACTCATTGGTGTATCTACTACTCCCTCCCATATTTTGCTAGTTCTTTATAAATATCATTTGTATGGAAATGTTTCTAAGGATTGTTCACGTTCAAGTGTCTTTTAGCAGCATCTGAATTAAAAACTCTGTCTATAAGAAACTTTATTTTATTTTTCTATTCCACATATAACATATAATATCCAGCCTAAGTATGTGGTACACAATACGTTTTGCAAACAGTCTGTTGACCATGTGACATCAAAGATTATTCAAGTTCTTTCTGTTTTGAACTAAATGAAGTTATGTTTAACTCTCAGCAGTATTTCTAAAGAGTATTGTGTAAGCTTCAACAGCCAGGCTAATTTTGTCTTCTCAAGAGTCATGTTAAAATGAAAACATCTACTTTAATATTTCAATGTATGTCCTAGTTATCTTAGACCCTCAATATTGATTTATGAATTCTAAGTTTCTAAACAGAAATGACTGGAGTTTTATACAAACCATTTTAAAAATATGGAATGCTTCATGAATTTGCATGTCATACTTGCTCATGGGACCATGCTAATCTCTGCAGCGTTCCAATTTTAGGATTTGTGCTGCTGAAGAAAGCACTACAAAACATTTTTCAACTTTGTTCCTATCTACCATATAAAATGAGATACATTGACATTTTTCAGATAAAACTTATACCTAGAGAGGGAAAATAATCTTGCTTTTGAAAATATATGGATAAAATAGCATTTATTTGTTTTAAATGTAG